AATATTGACAGATTATTATTAGCTAAAATGTCATGAGCATTAGGATATTCAATAACAGGTATTTTCATTAATTATGCCAGGATAGCTAAGGTGACATAATTTTATTATTATTACTCAAGTCTTAGACAGAAAACAGCAGCTGTATGGAAAGAGTGGAAGTATTGGATTTCCAGAAAGTTTACATTCGCCGTTTAAATCCAGAAGTTAAAAACTACAGTCTTAGAAGCACTGACAGTGCAGCTTCCACATTTAAGGTTGCTATTCTGTCTAGAGGGGAAAGGATTAAATGGCTGTGCTGTGAATTATAAAGCAAAGGATCTCTGCAATATGAGGAAGTGGTAATCTGTGTTTGCAGGCTGCTGTTATCACTTCATGAAACTGCCAAATATTAACACAGAGGTACTTTTCTATAACAGATTCAGAAGTACTTCATAGAACTCAGAGGGCTAAATCTGATAATTGTCTAGGTTTCTGTATCATAGTTAAGGAAAAAAAGATAAGATAAAAACATAATTTACAAAAAGACACATCTGCAAAGTCAAGATGAAGTGAGATTTCAGGTCATTTAGTTTCCAGTCCTGTCTTAAAAATACAGTATGCTCATTCTTCTGCTTAAAAATATTTACAAAAAACATTGCCAAAATTCTTCATAATGAGTTTTTTAAATCAGTTTGAATGAGAGTATTTTTAAAGAGAAAGGCCAGAGTAAGAGTTTCATTAGCTGCCGATGATTGCAGTTACGCAACAACTATACCTAGATTGCCATTTTCAAATAACATAAATGACTCATGGAGAGTCAGCAGAGTTACAGCTCGGCTGGGAATGTTGAGAAAAGGGGGAAGCAAAAGACTCAGTGCACGAGGACATCTCACGTCAGGTCATTCTGCTGTAAAAAATATTGTATTGTGCAAAATGCAAGCAGTGGCTGAATTGAACCATGGTGCTACATATTGCATTACCTTTACATAAAATCCACCAAAGCCTGAACTATTCTATTCTGTCTTTATAGCTACCTGCCACTACAGGAGCTTTTCCTGTTACTTTTCAAGGAATGCCCAAATGCCACATTAACTGACACATGCGAGCTACCATTTTTAATTTGAAACATTCCCTGAATGCTCCCCAAATAGAAGAAACAAGAAATTACTTCATATCCATAGTCATTTAATTTCTTCTATTTCCTAAAAGAAAAAAGCAGATGCTATGATCCAAAGAGATACGTAACTACAGTTATTGATACTACCTGAGATGTTTTATTCCCAACATTAAGAACAGAGACAATCTTAAACAGATCACCCTTCATTCAACCGGAATTCTACCTTGGCTCTAGGCAATTTGGTGCACTACAACTCTGAACAGTAGATGCAATGCAAGGTTTTTGGTAGTATCTAACTGACAGCCTCTCAGAAGTGGCTCAAGGGCCTCTCTCCCAAAATCTTGTCCATTTTTAGTGACATAGTCGCTAGACTCAAAACCACAAAAAACATCCATACAACAATATTATGTTGGTGCTTGTCTATCTATCTTTGTGTTTGGACAATAAATGGAGGTAAAAGCTAGAAACACATTAATTTCCAGCCTTAAGAATAATCATATCTATTACAGTGGATAACCATATCCACTAGTGTGAATTGACAAGTTATGCATTGTTAGACCTTATTAATTAGACAAAAGCTGAAACTCATAGGTCTGTCTGTGAATATTCCTAATTTCAGCCTTTCAAAATTCTTGTTGCGAAATGTAAAAGAGTCTACTGAAAAAGGAATAATTAAACCATCTGAGTAAAAAGAGCACAAAGTCATGCATTTAAACAGATATAATGGACTCTTCTTCTACACACAACTTCATATTGCATTTTTTGGGCTGAAACTGCCAGTTTGAGATGCTGAGAGATATATTTTAAGGTAATTGCTAGTTTGTGTTTTGGTTTTTTTCCAGCAGTCTGCTCCTGTACTGACACTTCATCAGAGAGAGCATGTCTTCATCTTAACACATGAAAGCCTTACCACTACTAGGACTGAAGCCATGTTATGCTGTAATCAGCTGGGGCTCTTTACAACCCAAGAGAAACAACAAGCTGACAGTCAGTCTAGAAACTCATCATGTGCTTTGATGTCATGAACAATATTTTTACCTTCTACAAACAGAAAACTAAGCTCAAAATTATGTGGTTCACCTAAAGCTAAAAAAATAATCATAAAGGAATCATGTAAAGGCCTCCAGTAAGGTACACTAAGAACTGACTAAACCTACCTATCTAGGCTTATGAGATTAGTCCATCTATCTCTCCTTCTTTCTATCTAATCTATCTACCATGTGCATCCAAAGTAATGAAAGACAATAAAGACAAGAGAGTGCCCACAATGTTAACTAAGATCACTGTACATTGGGGGAAGATTCTCCCTGCTGTGAAAGATGCCATGAGTTTGATTAAACTACCTAATTTTGAAACTCAAATCCTTTTATATACAAAGTATGCTTATCAGTAGAGCAAGATGAAATACCAGGGTTGAATAATCATCAGTTTCATACAATAGACTGCAGTGATTATGCACTGCACAGATTTTTTTCACTGCAGAGGTAAGAAGATATGACATATGCTTTAAAAGTTTCCACAAGCAAAAACATGTTTTGTGTTCAGGAAAAGAACGAATGCCCAGAGTCACACTGTAGCTACAAGTCTGAATTTTCTACAGGTAGCTTCAGCATTTCCCACTGAAAAAAATTACACGCTGGTTTACACTTAATATTTTCTAAGACATTAAGACAACCGAAACACTAATATATCCTTGCAGAACATTGTACCTGCTAAACCTTAATTAGGTACAGAAAAAATCAGGACAAAACAAAGCTCTGAGTTCAGGTGTCCTGCCGAGCCATTGCAAAAGTGCCTAGATGTAATAAGATTGAAAATTAAGTTTCAACTCCTGTTCAACTCCCTGCTGCAAGCAACTAGGCTCCACACACTTCTATTTTCTCTATATTACCTTGAGATTAGAGCGACAGATCCTGAATTTGACAAAGACCCTATAGGACAGAAGTCCTAGAACAACTCAAGCTGCAAAGGATGTGCTGCAGATTAAACCCTACCTGTGACTCCTGCTGGCACACCAGTTGATGTACTTACTCTTTACTGAAGGCTAAGACTAAACCCAAAGACTACCACACAATGCACAACCACACATATTACCACTACAGCAGCTTTATAACAAATTTACTCCATAATCATGTAACATACAACGATGAATGTTTCTGAAAAAAATGGATCAGAGTTCGTTTATTTTGGCTTCTTTATTTATATTACATATTTATAACTCCTATGCATATTTTAGTTTATAAAATGTCATATGGACATTTAATTCTATTTAAATATTAGTCAATACCTGCTATTAAATATTAGTCAATATCTGCTATTAAATATTAAAAATATTCTTAATTAAATAAGGATTTAATTTAAAATTTATTTGCTCCCTAAATTCCTAAACCATTTGCAAATACATAAATGCACATTCAAACCTGGTAAGATACCATTTTTTATTCATAGCAGATTACATTAGATAAACAAAGTATAAATCAAAATTTAACAAGATAACAGTTGCTACTCTATGTCTATCCCCCTTTCAGTTTTTCCAAAATTTCTTTTCTTCCTGTGAATGGGTTTCAACCTTATCATAAACACTCAATCATAACCTTATCATGATTACCAGATTTATGTATCATTTTGAGGGTTTAGAGAATGTCTCAGAAAACAGAAAATAAAATCCTGATGTCCTTACTGGTTTTCAAGATGCATTCAAGTGTACAAGGCTACACTTTTAGTAATACCTTTCTCACATTTTGTAATTCCAACATTTAAATCCCACTGAGAGATTTGCCATATTAATGCACATTAAACAAATAAACTGCAGTAAACTTATAAAATATTTACAATCTGATCACTGTTGCACAGACAAAACTTAAAAGCAATATAAATACGACTATTAGGCAGTATATACAGAAGGGGGTATGATGAAAGCTCGGAAGAATGAAGCAGATTTTGCAATACAGATTTCCAAAAGGAAACAAGTGTGTAAAAGCACTCTGAAGAATAGGGCACTGATCTAATCTTTCAGCCTGCCCTAAACTTGCTCATCAGAACTTCATCTTCGTTAAGTCCTGCTTTCTATACCTGAACAGCACATATTTGATGATCTGTCATATAGCAGAATGCATGAAACACAATGAGCATGACTGAATTGGCAAAGAGTCAGAAAGATAAGCTTTCAAATATATCAGCACTACATTACTTTAAGAACAAAAGCTATGGAGCCAAACAGGATTTAAAGGTAATTTCTTTGGTAATCTTCTAATTTCTGTCATTGTTTTCTGCTTCTTAAAGTACTTAAGAAGAGTCAAAAAGTCAAATATGAGGAAAGTACATGATACATTTAGCAAAGCTGATTCACCAGTGAAACCAGCCTACTACAGATCTCTCAAAAATTTCCTCTCTAGAAGAAATCTCCTTGATAAAATTTTATTTTACATCCAAAATGATAGCATCTTAACTAAAGGAGAAGAGCAGTCTCATAAGGAACAGCCAGAGGATGAGTGGCAGATGAACAGTTTTCTCTCTTTTTTAAAATAGGATTAAAACTAACCAAACAACAAATCTCCAACATAGTGCAAATTACAGCTGTTGAAATCAAAATGACCCCACACAGTCAGAAAGGTGTAGCACGGCTGAAATTTGACAGCTATTAGCCAGGAGAATAAATGCTGAAATATGTACAGCTCAAATCTTCATAATAAAACAATCACCTTTAATACAGAAAAGCCTATCTGAGAAGAGCAATTACAGGAAGAAAAGATTGCACTTTGTTGCTTGTCATATTAGAAGGTACAGTCATATTTGCTTAGGAATAACAATAAAACAGCTGATGCCACTGCATTGCTGTCAGCATACACTATCATTTCAGCAACTACAAAAGACAAAAAGTAGACTAAAAAGCAGAAAAGCTCACCACTTCTTCATGCCTGCATTTTCTCACATTAATTCCATTAATCTGTTATTAAAAAGATAAAGAAAAGACTTACTCTACATTTCATAAGCACAGATTTCATTTCACTTTTCTAGAAAAATACAGAAAAAATAATTTGCAGTTTTACTCACCTGTAGAATTGCATCTCCTATAAAGAGCAAACCTGAAAGTTCAGCTGAAAACAGAAAGCATATTTTTCACTCACTTTGTACAAAGCACCCAACATTGTGTACATTAATTCCCATTTTAATTTAATGCTTTCGCATAGTCTTTTAAAATTTCAAACAAACATGATAAAAACTCCAACATAAAACTTCCAAATAAACTACTTGTATTTTCTTTTTAAAATCCAAAATACAGATGTATCACTGTTACAATAAAAGAGGCTATTCAGCCCAAGCACACAACTATGAAATTTCATCCATCAGTCACTAGCACCTTTCAGGCCATTCTGGTAAGGTGTGGCATATATTTCTGAATAGAAAATGATTGCAGGACCAGGTAGTATTTGCCTGTGAGAGATCATTTCTTACAAAGAGAATAAAGCAACATGGAGACTCCAGAGCTACTGAAGAATAACAAATTTAATTTTTAAGTTTTGCCAAAGATAAAGGACCCTTTAGATCCTTCATCTTTGATAAACTCTGATAAATAACAAGGACTATTAATTCTGGATAACACTTACATACTCTGAAGAGCTAGAAAATCAATATATTGTAAAAAAATCACTAGCCAAACTGAATGTGATTTCTAAAACAAAGCTGCATCACAAAGACATTTACAAAATCTAATTCGACACTTCAAATTTTTAAACGGTGCTCCATTTCAGAGCTATCTCATTTAAATACACCTTATAAGCATACCAGAAATATAACAAAAATTATTTGTCTTTAAAGGAACTAATGAGCCCCAACATGAGAACTAAGGGAAATTAACAGATTACATGCAATTATTACCTATAGTATTCCATATCATCACAGAAGATACTGTCTGGAAAAAGCTAGTATTGGACTTGATCCAAAAACTTTACTTATTTACATGAGCTGTGAGACTGGAATTAATATTGCAATGAATTATGATTCTCAAGTCTTTGTTTGAAGAAATGGTCCTATTAGCTATATTTAACAATGGATAGTTAAATTATTCCAAGACAGACATTCTGATTTATTTTGAGGCATAGGCTTTGGGTCAAACAGCATTTTCTGTATCAAAGTTCTCTAGTCCAGGAACACAGCATGACACTTTCTACATCTCAAGACAGCACTCTCCTACAAAAGAGATGTCCCTCAAAACTAGCTCTCTAAAATCAGCAGTATTTTTTTCAAAGCAGTTATGAAGATTATATCACAAGTACTGGGGCCAGAAACAATGCAACAGCTACTGCAGAAAAAAAAAAAAAAAAACAAGCAGAAATTTGCACTTCATTGTGCTCAATTAAACTTAAGTATATCTTTCTTATTTTTCCTGCAGTTCTTAATAGCAGTTTAATAATTACTAATATAGGCCACATATTTATGTGTTAGTTACATGCAAACTGAAAAGAATGTAGTCACAAGTATAACTTGTTAAGGTTAACCTTATTGCCGTCCTTAGGGACTCATTCCATGCTACTCCTTATTCCCCCAAACTCCAACTTCCATATCACTTTTCTTTTGGGGTTGGCTTTTGGCTCTCAGTATTCTTCCATACCTCTCTTTAGCTGAGTGGGTGAACATGAGACTTTTTTTTTATGCTGGTACATTTTAGCTGAGGAGAAGCTGAGTTCTAGAATTATTGCATTACAAATGGAGGGAAATGTTTCCAAGTTTGCATTTCTAACCTTACACAAATACATACAAACATAACAAAGATAATTAATTACACCATACTAGTACTGGTTCACAACCTTCCTCCCTCATAATTGTGCAAATCTTGAGCTGTTTATTATCCATGTATCATTCCAATAATTTCAAAATGTTTCCAGTTTGAAACAATACAGAAATTCAGAACCAGCTCTGTTATTATTAAAAATAAGTATGGTCAAGTCTTTATGTACCCTGTCTCAATACTACCTAAGTAATCAGGTTAAAAATCCATGTATTCTCCTACTGTGTTGCCATGATTTAAGAGCCAAACATCTCATCTGCTACAGCTTCCAGAAAATAACTACTGGGAAGTCAAAGCCTTTTGTTAAATATTTTCATTCTATCAATACCTTCCTATTTCTCATCTTAAAAATAATGCTTTACAATAATCTTAAAAAAAAAACTTAAAAAAATGCTGAAGACTTTAAAAACTATTCCAAATATAAATTCTGTACTTTTTCAGAAAAAGTTTGAGGGAAAGAGATCATAAAGACATGAGAGAGAAAGGGTTCAACAACAGTATTTATTTAACAGTGACTGAAGAATCTCAAGATTTAAAACATATTTCTTTAAAGGGAACATTAAAGTACAGTGAAATAAGCTAATACCTGATACCCACCTCTTTGTTCTTTGGAAATCTTAGAAATTACCACTGGAATATTATGTTCTGCTCCACCCTGAAAACAGAATAAATAGCAATCTCTGTCAGTCACTAAAAATATCTTTTTGTTTAAAGTTATATTTTGCCCTTTCTCTAAATGCAGTTTTTAGAGAGACTGAGCAAATAACCCTGATCCTGCACTTCCTCTTTTTTGAATGAAAATTTGATTGTGATTAATTTCTTATTGTCTCACATAAAGAAGTTCTCAGTTGCCATCATTAGCTCAGAAAGTGAATTCAGAACTCTACTAGACTTGAAGAAAAAGGACATCAGTTCCTGTGAATGTATGAAATGTGTCCTGCAGAAGCAGAATGGACATCCAACTACAATGGCAAACACACTGTGACCATTTAGTTTTCACGCTAGCATGAAGGAGGTAAACAAAAGCACAAGAAAGGAAGTTTGGACTTTTCATCTCAAAAGCAGCCTTTATTTGTTTCTGTCTGTCACACAGGCACAAAGAGTGAGGAAAGCAGTGGCATAAATAACAAGGAACAGAAAAAGAAACATTAAGAGATGGAACAGTAGGTGTTCAATAAATGGGGAGAAATAAAAGAAAACCTCATGATAGTTTCAACAGTTCAACAACAATTCAGTGCTGTTGCTTCATTCAATTTATCCGTTGGGACTGGAAAAATTTAGGGTACTTAAAAACAAAGTAATGAAAATAAATCTTAAATGAAAAGGGAATTCAAAGGAAGGTAAAGGCAAATATACAGAGAGAAACAAATACGTTTTCCTCTTCCAAGCATCAAAGTGTACACTCAAATGCAATCTGTACAAATTCAGGTCACCAGAAACCAGTATCTGCCACACTGTTTTGCCTAGGAATCCCGGTTAAGGGTTTGCTTACTCTTCTTTTCAGCAGACAGATTTTACTTTGGAAATGATGGGGTTTTTAGGTCCAGGCACTTAGGGTCAAGTTGTAAAAAGGACTGACATAAGTATTTCAATCTCTAAGGAACAGCACACATCCCTTCTTCAAGCAAAATCAAAGTGTTTGAAACTGAACAGACTCCTAAATTCAACACCTCTTTCTGTCATGGAATAAAGATTAATTTCCTGTGAAACCACAGAATGTTAAATCAGATAAATGTTCCTTCTGTTAGTGGCTATCAATGCAAATGACCCTAAAAACACTGAGTTAATAAGGATCTCAGTAATATTACAACAATTATATATCTACAGGTACAGTTCTACTGGCATTGCATGAGATGAGTGTTGACAAGCACAGAACATATCAATATTTCTAGCACAAACTGAGTATTGACTCTACAGAAACCAGAGGCTGCCATCATTTCAGTTAGGCTGACATGTATTCAGATTAATTGAATTATAGCATTATAACTTGTTGAATATTGTTCAGTAGTTTTCACCAGAAGGACAGCAACAGTAAAAGGTGGCTTCACTGCAGATCATGAGTTCAAGCTCACTAAATTTATATGTTTTTAACCTATATTCTCCAACTTTTCTGGTCACATGCAAATTTAATTTCTCCAAACTTTTTCAAACAAATAGAAAAAATAACTGAGTCACTTTCTTCCTAAGCTTCCAATGCTACACACGTTGCACTATCCAGGATATTTAAAGCCCAGCAAAGAAGTTTAAGGTTTAAAACGGCCTCCCTGCCTCCTTAGACCCGAGGCTCCATGAAAATAGGAAATTACTTTTATTACTAAGCCAGCCTGCAATGCACACCACATGATTATTCCTCTCTCATTACATTGAATCTACTTAAATCCATTTACACTACAGATCTGAGGAAGCTTTCAGTAGTGTCCTACTGAAGAGAATTATCTCCTCCCATTGCATCTGAGTCTGACCAGTATGAAGACTTCTTTTTAAATTAGTGTAAGGATGTAGTGCCTGCTATTCTAAGAAACAAAATATCAAAAACTGGACCAGCAAATAGCTGACCAGCTATCTATACCCAGTCACTGCTAGTAATTTGTAGCAAACTGTACATATTCTGCACACATCTTGTTGAATACCATTTAAAGTTGACACTGCAGCTTTTCATCCTGCATTCTCCATACTTGATTCTCTGTCCTGTAGAGGGAAAAGTGTAGACATGTCTAAATTCTGGTTTTACAGTCTCAGAGGATACTCTTCTGAAGAAATCTCTGGGAACAGAGGCAACTTTTCCAACTGCTTTAAATTTTCTTTTCCTCTAATATGGATGTGTAGGTATAACCTCAGACCAGAGGATGGACAGAAATACATCAAATAGTGGTGTTGAAGACTTAATGGCTCAGACCTCTACCAGACTCCAACAATGATCTTTGTCAAACAAATTTTCTTTGTCAGTTTTCCTTAAGCAGGGATAAGCCTGGAATAACAGCAGCTGCCCACCTGCAGAGGTGGTCCTGCTAGAAGAGGCAGAGGAAGCTCTAATCACTGGCAGCTGTTTGAAGGTCACTGTCCTGGATGTTGGCCACTACTGCTGAGAGGTCACCCACACCACCTTTTAAAGTGTCACACGATACATTCCTAAAATTTTTTTCTTATCCCAGTTTTTTTGTGCAAGAGTTTCTTTTCAGAAGTTTTTGACATATGAAAAATAGGGCAATTGAAAGCAGTAACTTTTATTGATAAAGGATGAGGGTTTTTGGTTCTAAGTATAACAAGAATTATTTTTTTATTTTCTAAAAAAAGAGAGTTTATACAAAAATCAAACCAATTGTTGGACTTGACCATCAGAGTTAGATAATATAGGGGACTATGACTTCATACTAAAAGGAAGCATTTTCACTAGCAAAAATACCTTTAAGGTCTATGGATACTGAATTTTTGATCGAGTTAAATTGGAAAGTCAAACTGAATCTCAGAAGACTTGTGATGCTGTTAACTATTTTTAAAGAATGATCAAAACAGAAGCAGGAGAATAGCAGTGTACTGAGTCCTGGTAGCCAGATGGCAGACTGTAACCAAAAACCTCAATTTGTTTAATGAGGTATCAATTTTGTTGCCTATTTTTTCAGGACCACTACACTCCAATTATTGGCAAACAGGATGTTCTTTCAGAAATCATACACTGAGCAGCATCTCTCATCAAGACTCTGCATCTCAGACTTGCCAGAGATGTGATAAGTGACTGATACACTACACTTCCCAAATTCTACACCTATGTCCATGGCTATTCCTTCTCACACATTTAACAGGAGGCTTCAGAAAAGAGAAAATCATTCCTTCAGAAGAGTCTAAACCAGAGCAAGTCTGCTTCAAATTCAATCACAGTTTCACGACTAACTTCAGCTAAGACGTACAGCCAAACACCAGGTTTTCAAACCCTAAAAGAGTGGATTATAATCTATTTTTTTAATGGCTGAAGTTTAGGTCTTGGACAAAAGTCAATCTTACAATCAGGGGTTTTTTTAAGCAGTTAGCTGAATTTCTGATTTTTACAAATAGAGTTCAAATACACAGGTTATAAAAAAAAAAGAAGAGCTTCCCTCATAGAGAGTAAAGAAAAATAATTAGTTTAATTTTGGAATTATTAGCAATTTATCCTCTGCTCTTCAGAAAAAGTATAACTCCAAGAGTTCAAAATACTTGCAGTGGGATAAGACATTTTCAAAATTTATTTAATTAAAAAATACTGTATTCATAGCTAAGTCCAGTGTTTCCTTGGGTAGAAGATGCCTGTTTTATAAGAGAAAGCTGAAAGGTTACTTTTTCATGTGAGATTTCTGACATTAGATGGATGTTTTAAGTTAGCAGAAAAAAAAAAAGACATAAGACCTCAGAACTGATTGCCAAAACAAGGCAAATGCATAAGGAAGTATTCTAAAGTGAGTGTCATTAACCACTGTACTGCTGTAATTAACACCTCAGATAAACAGCATCCTCTGACATACACCACAGCCAGAAAGCAAGTCCTCAAATAAATCCTACCTTTAATTAGTCTGGGAGTAGTAAGACAACAGAAACTACTGCAGTCTAGGGGCTATGGGAATTACTGACACAAGGAAGAGAGGCCTCAGTCCTTCTCACTCCTTCAGGGTGACTTGTAGACCTCTATTTCTGGTACAATTTTAAAACAACTACATTTCTATTTAAAATTAATACTAAGTATAAATTCTTTATTAAAGTTCAGGAATCTCACAAAACAAAACAAAAATATAGCAGAAAACTTTTCTTCATCTGCAAGAAGCAAACCATGATTGAATGACACATTTTAAACAGAAAACTGGCACTTTTCAGAGTATTTGGAACTGACATGTTAGCTCATGCCATAAATAAAAAGTCCATTTCAGTGACTCTTCACAAAATTTGGCTACTAAACTAAAAAAGAAATATTACTGTAAGTTCCCATTCTAAGTTGTTTCTTACACTACTTTAGAATTATAATAATAGATTATATATATTTTTTAGGTTGTGTTGGCTATCCAACTGCTTGTTCACCTTTTGAGAATGTAGAACTACTAATAAACGAACCTAGCAAAAGAGGTCCCATATACATTGACTAAAAAAAATTAAGTGATTTTAAAGTAATAAGTCACACTACCTGAAACACATCCTGGATCACAGAATTCAACTTGCTATTTTCATTATGTAACTTATGCCATCCAAACAAGATTGAGTTTCCTTTTCTTAAAGAGAACTCTGCTCTTTAATTAGAAGGAATTTCATCCCCTGAATGCTAGTTATTTCAAAAAATTAAAAATTGTCTATTCACACCTGACTTTATGTATCTTCATCTTTCCAGTACTTTGGTCAATACTGATCAAAATACCAATGATATAAAATAATCCTAGAAAATAAATATGTTACTCTAAAAAGTTAAGAATTACTTAATTCTACTAATTTACGAAAGACCATTGCACATTCTCCATTTAATTTCTATTTCTAAATTATATTTTATTTTATGCAATTTACATAACAATTTAAAATGCAATCTTGAGACTGTAAGCAGTGTTAATTCTAAATGACAGCTCATTGTAAAGTATATATAAAAATCAAGTTTATTGACTCTTGATACTTGTTCTCCTATCATCTAAAGTCTTTATTGGAACCAGTTATTTTTAGTAGCATCTAAATAAAACCTCATTTACCCATATACTTGATTTCACTGACATTTCATTACTTCATCTTTATTCAGTGTACTACACTATGATACCAGAGGAAAAAAAATACTTGAGTGTTGTTAACCAAACTGATGAGAAAGTTTGGTGACAAAATACCAATTAGTTTTTCTTGAACAGAGGTCTTCATGGGTCAGCAAGATAACAACAAGCACATTAAGACATTTTAAAAAATTAATATTGTTTAATATTAATAGTCATATTCTTATCAATGACAACACAAATGCACATTAATCCTTCTTATGAGTCACTTATAAGGTCAGCACTAGCAGATGTTCACAGAAAAATCTATATTTTCACTTTATATTAATAATTTAGGCCTTTTTGCATTCATGTGAAATACACTTCATTTTTTCCATTGCTATCTTGAGACTGAGAACTGCTGTGTTTAGAAGATAAAATTAATCTTGTGTTGTCTACACTCAGATTCAAAGCTAAGGTAAGGTTTCAAAATCATAGATGACAATGACAAAAACTATTAACCCTTTCTCCCTAAAAAGGATCACCTACACTTGTATATGTTCTTAAATCTTACTGACAAAAGCAAAAACATGGTAACATGGAACATTTCTGTCTGGGCTTGATCTACAGAAAAATAAACAATATCAGCATGCAATAACTCTTTCTGGCCCACTAATGAATTGCAGTGTATTAATGTGATATTCTTTGCAGCAGAATTCATGATTAAGTTATTGGCTGTTCCATGTGCCTGCCACTGTAACTTAGCATTCATTAATAACTATTTAAATTAGAAAGAAGCTGAACACAAGTACAGTCCATACAGTTGAAAACACTTCTCAACTCTTATACCAGACCTTATTACAGAGTTGGTCAGCTTGAATTTTCAGGGAATGATTGCCTTCCATTCCATAGGGCCCATAGTTCTGTGGTTGCCTGCTGTAACAGTATTTAACATACAAGAATATGTTTCCTGTCTTGTCTCCAGTCCTCTAAAATAGTTTGCACTCATTAACAGTAACACTGATTATATACAAAGACACACTCTGCGTGATATGCAATAAATAGACCAAAAAAATCATCTTACCTTTATACTTAATCCAAATCCTCCTACAGTCTGTCTTCTTATTGTTACTGTTCTTTCCTGGAAAAAAAATAAATCAAGTTTTGCTAGATTAAATGTCTTTGGTCAGAACTACTACATTCATTCTTCATTAAGTTTTTTCAACATTAATTTTTATTGCTTTAATGAAGTTCTGAGTTCCTGAACTGAAAATCCCATGAAACCTATGCTCCACAAGACAAAGACAATCTGGAAGAAGAGATTCTGTCTCAAACAAAAAAAAAAACAAAAAAAAAAACCAAAACAAACAAGCAAAACAAAAAAAACCAAACAAACAAACAAAAAAAAAAATCAAAAAACAAAACACCCAAAAATCATTTTTTCAATTCACACTATCCTAGCAAGTACTGCAGTGCATAAAAGCCAGAACTTTGGAGTTGGACAATTATGGCACAATACATACATTGCAAAGGTTAAGACCTTGAATAGTCCTAAATTGGTTCCCACATGCAGGTTGATCACTACGTGTTGAAGTACATACACTACACTCCTGCAGTGCATTTCCCAATTCAGTTTCATCTGAAAGGAAAACTTGTGCATGCCAAGACCACTCACTGATGTTAACCAAAGCCTAACAAGTGCACACATTGCATGAATTCATTTTAAAGCACAGTAATGATACAAATTAAAAAAGAAAAACAAAAAAACCAAACAAAACAAACAAAACCCAAAACCATTAGAAGCTAATACAAAAACAACCACTGTTGATCTCAGAGCAATGGTTTAAAAATTGTAACCCATAACCAACAATTATTAAAAGCAGTCCATCTTTTTCCCTTAAATGCTGTCTAAAACTTTTTGCCTTACAAACTACAGGCTACTATCTGTCTCAGATATGAACATTTATAAAAAAAGCCTTTTTTGGTTTTTTTTTTCTTAGTCTGCCTATTGACTTGATAACCACAGATCATTCAGAATTAGCACATTTAGGTAGTGGTAAAATAACCTATTAGCAGATATACAATATATCCAGATTCAAATATATCAAATGTATAGATTTTTGAACCTCGTCTACATGTGGTCTAGATTTTATTCTCATTTAATTACCTATATATCTGTTGCATGGCAAAAGTCTGCATGTTTGTTACATTTACCTATATTTATTTCAGCATGATTATTATTTCATTTTCAAATTATTATTATTTCAGCATCTATTACAGTGTCAGATTTGAATAGATCATCTGGAACGTAGCAGTGACAAACAGCATGAAACATATACAGATGTCTTTTTTTTTTTCTTCCTTACTTCATGTACAGAAAGGAAAATAAAGGAGCTAACATATAAAAGTTTTGGAAAACTGTTACAGCATGATATTGGTGAAAATCGAGCCACCTTTTTTGTTTTTTTATGTTTGTGACAATTAAGAACTGTGTAACTGTAGAGAGAGCAAGCATAAACGTATCCAATGTTTTGGAATGAAAGACAAAATGGATTGCCTAAAATGAGACTACCATTTGTTCATTTAGGCTAACGCTTGCAAACATTTATTCTAAGAAAAATGTATACATTTTACTGTTAAATGGCCACACGTTTCAATTTTTATTTTTAACATAAACATCTAAAAAGGAACTTGCATAATTGCAGCTCCCACAGATTGGATTCAGGGCAAAAATTCTACTTAGAAAACCTTTTGTCTGTCATAGTATCAGATGCAGGTAATGGTGCTGACAATATATTCAGGATAAACCAATGTAGGCCACAGTCTGATGTGTGGTCTAAGCTGAGTTTACATAAATGAACATAAAACACTCAGCTAGGGCTCCATTGGGAGCTATATTTTTCCTGATAACTTCATCTTGCTTCCACCTCCAGACTGAATTGAACATGGAGTTAAGAACAGGAACCTGACTTGTACACTCTAGTCAATTCAATCTGGTATTTTTGTTACACATGCTCAAATCAAATAGAACACACTTGGACTAGGATGACATTGAAAAACAGCAACTTTTCACTACTTTAAACTGGCTGCCTTAAACTGGCTAGTGTTACATCAACCATGAAAGGAATAAAGGACAACACACAGATTAAATTTCAAACAGTAATATTCTCAGTGAAAAACATCTAACTTCATAAAATTCGTAATTCATGATATGTCAGTAGTCCCTGTAAATACTGTCATCTGAGCACATTCTAAGTTGAAGCTAAATTTTTAGAAAACCTAATAGAAAACTATACTGCAGAATATTTCTGTCCTTGTCCTTAGCCCAACAGACATAAGTACCCATAAAAAAGTACCCAATAAAATATTCTTTTTGGTTATCACTCAAGCAAAGACAGACTCAAGACAGTCCTGAAAACACCTGATCCAGGGTCTTCTATGAGTTTATCAGTGCTGTCTGACAGAACACAAGAAACATTTCATAGTGGAGTTCAGCATTACTTTATGAGAAAAAAATCCGCATGCTAGCATAGAAGATTTGTAAATAGGCAAACCTGCATAGAAATAAGGAAGAAACCAGAAAAACTTCAAGACACTTTCCCAGCATAACATAATTTATCAGAGGGTTTTGTCTAGTATTTTTCCTGGTGTCTTTTCTATCTCCATTTAAATTTGATATTAAATACTTTGGGACCAGACAGTCAGTGAACTGAATCTCACTTCAAAAACATACTGCAAACTAGATTGACTTGAGTTATGTGTTATGTGCAGTCAAAGCATTGCATTTTATTCAATCTAGGCTAATTCAACATGCCCCTCAGAGTTACATTTTCTTTACATCAAGTTAGCTAACAAGAGCAAACATGCAAACAACCTTCAAAAGTACAAATCAGAATTACATACATGTTGTATATTACTTTAGTAAACCATCAATAATCCCCTGGTCTGCAATTTAAAACCCAACATAAACCTTATAGTGAAACAGCTTTTCCATAACAGTTACAAGCATCAGACATTCCATACACCTGAATTTCGGATTGGGAATCAAGCCCCAGCTCTAACCAGCCATTGGTCAAGCCAAGTTTATTTTTGTAATCAATAAAGAAAAATAAATACATTCAATCCTGGTGGGCCAAAGCAGGCGTCCAAATTAGGTGTTAATCAACTTCATCGAGTATAGAGGCAGGATGTCAAATCTAACCTGAGAAAGATGAATCTCTACCTTTCAACTTGCATAGTAACTTGACTAAGTCTTTTGATGGTAAATATTTGCTTTGAAATGTTTTGGCAGAAAACTTCTTTGTCCAACTAAGTTTTACTTTTTAAATTGCACATGACTTATTTTATGTAACCCTCAAAAACCCCAAACCAAGCTCAATTTTCAGAGTCATTTTCAACCCAGGTTAACAGAATATACCTGGTCTGCAGAACACTATATTGTAATTTAAAGGATTTTAATTATAATTATTAATATACAAAAGCAGTTTAAGATGCAATCTGAAGCAAAATATTTTGTTCTGATGCCTTTAATTAGCATTTCAAATTAACAATAACAATAATAAAATGTTTTTCTCTGGTCTAATAGCTTTAAGTTCTTAAATTGATTTTCAAGTATTTATTAATAAAGCGGAGCAAGAACTCTGGACGGCAAGAACTTTTGTGCAAGTGAAGAAGTGCTCTAAGTATCCTGATTGACTATTTGTGTTGTTTAGGTTAAAAATACTGATGGTTCCATTGATTCTGTATTAATACTTTTATGCTTTTCCCTCTTTTTGCACCACATGATATTCTATGATTTAATTTGTGGTGGTTTTGTAAATTCCAAAAGTAGCTTCTTCTCCAAGTTTAAAAATTAACTTAATTCTGATAAAAAGACACTTAGTTCACTATCAAGACTACATAAAGTGTTATGTGAGCTTGTATTTCTATTTTCACATTTGTTATCCGCATTATACCAGAGGTAAGGTTAGAGCTCCTAGGACTCTTAAAAGCAAGATTCAGAGTAGTGTTCTTGCTGTTTCCTGGAACAGAACAAAAGTAGTTATCATTTTATTGAAAAACACAAAGCTGCTGCCATGCTGTCATCATTTTCCATGCCTGTCAGAAAATTGACTGGAAAAGACAGCGAGGAGTTTTGCCAAAAAGAAAAAAATAAAAGTATCTTCCTCAGAGCTATGCAGTGAAACAGAAACAATGTTTTTGAGGCTTCCATTAAAGAGCTACTAAAATTTCTCCTTAAAAATCCATATGATCTCCTGGGGAACATAAATGTCAACATAAGCAAGATCAGAAGTGAAGAATGACCATGTGAGCACGAAGCAACAGTAAATATTGAGGAAAGGAACACACAGAATCCTAGATAATCATTAGCTATTTATATTTAGTCAAGATTTAATGTCATTTTTAAGTTACATCTTGGAGGACAGTAAAACTTAAAGTATTTCATATAAACTGGTATGTGATGCAAAAGTTTATAATTGCTCAACTGACTCTTAAAAATAATATTTAGCAATCTTTTAAAACTATCTTGTATAATACAAAGCAGTCATCTAATGAGATCTAATAATCTAATAATATGTCTCTATGAAAGAAGTCAAATACATGTTGAACAAAAGGATGAAGAAACTACAAAAAAGTCTTCACAAAACTGAATTAACAGCATGTGAAACTCAAATATACCATTTCTCAACCTTTTTTCCAGTATGTGGTTATTCATCTGGTGAGTCTGGATATTCATCTTAGAAAAGCAAAGGCATGAAGAATTAGTTTGTCCAGGTACAGAGAGAACAAGACCTCTCTTTTCATAAGATAGAACAAAAACCAAACTATTTTGCATATGGAAGAACATGATAAAAAGCTGAAAGCTTAGCAGCACAAAACAGTAGGTGGGGAAAAAGGAATACACATGGAGGAGTCCACAATAGCACAGTGACATGGAAATATATAGGAAGAAAAAAAGGCAGAAAATATTGGAGCAAACTTTAACATGTAATAGTATAAAGATAAAATCAATACGTTGGCAGCAACTTCACAGATCGACCTGTTAACATTTGATACCTTAATATATTCAAGGCCACACTCTCAGATAGTTCACCAGCTATTAGCAATCCTACTACATTTTAAAATAAGAAAATGTAATGA